AATAGAATGGAATGAATTGGGTTGTGTAGGTAGCTGTTCGAGTCAAGAGTTCAGGCATCAGACCAAAGCTGAGGAAAACCCAGACTAAGAAAAATGCTGAAACATTTTAAGATTTTTTAGGACAAGAATAGAATAAAGAATAGACAGACATTTTATCTGTTAAATAGTTTAAATGCCTTCAATTGCATATGATACAACCTAATATAAAGGATAAGGAAAGAGTGAGCACTGGGCTTCCATTTTATTCGGTTCATGATAAAACAGAAAATAGAAGACCAGGTACTTGGCATACAGGGTAGGACAGCTCTTAAGCCAAAGCAGAAGAGGTGGGAGGAGCACTTGGGGTAAGTTTGCACATGATCAGAATTGTCATGCTGACAGCTTCAGGGGCGTAGGAATCAAAACTAAATTAAAGCTTTGGAAAGTCTCAACACCACCTAGCTTCTCAAAGCTTTTAAGAAGCTTTTAAGCTGTTGATGAAGGCGGTCTTGTAATATAAACGTTGCAATTTCCCTTTTTCCCCCTCTAATATTGAAAAGTTTTAATTGCTTGCCTATGCAGCTGTGTAAAATTCTGAGTCTTGTTTTAGTTCCCACTCTTCTAAGGAAGTTAAGGATGTATTGATTCTAGGAAATAGCCATTCTGTTCCTATATAGTGCATTTAAACTTTTAGCATCCTCTCTTAAGGTATTTATGCAGAATCCCTGCTTCATTTCCCCAAGCTCTCAAGTGGCTCTGAGACCACCACGGAGCACCTGGAGGGAAAATGAAGGAAATTGGCCTTCTACCTCTTTCTCAGGCATTCTGTGTGGTGATGTGGGTTCCAGGTCAAACAGGCCAGCCTGCACCTTTGAGGTTGGGGGGCGGAGCCTTTTAGGCCGGAACCAATGGGGGTTTTGGAAGTGTCTGGAAACCAGTGGCTGAGGAGGCCTTGCCTCCAGCTTCCCAGGTGAAAGCTCTAAAATAAGTTAAGGACCGACCACAGGGAAAGTGCACATTGCTGTCCTCTACCATACTCTAATCTCCCTGTAGGTAAAACAATACCCTTGACATACTCTTCATGGCGTTATCCAGCAGCTGCTGTCCCCAGTGACAGAACAGCTCTTCAAGTAAACAGATGTTTTTTTCAAAAAGAATTTCCTCCTAAAACTACCCAGCCCACAAAACCGGTCTTGTGGTTGGAAAAGGCTTTCATAACCAGGGCCAGAACCTGCCTACTTGCCTGTAACTTTCACCCATAAATCCACAAGTAAAATGTCATCTTCCCCTTGCCCACTGTGGCACTTTAGCACTTGCAAGCAGCTCACTTAAACCTTTTCTCTAACAGACTAAATCTTTCCAGTTCATTCAAACTGTTCATTACTCAAGGTGAAAGTCAACTCTCAGTTTGTGTGTGTGTGTGTGTGTGTGTGTGTGTGTGTGTGTGTGTGTTTTGGGGGGAGTTTCTTTACATAAGTGGTTGCTTTATCTCCCACCCCTTTTTATGAAGCATCAGCATTTTGAACCACTCTTTTTTAGGTGGCACAGCTAAACAGTATTTTCTATTTTATTGTCATAGAATATTTTGGCCTTTGAAACCCCAGCTGTTGCTTGCTTTCTCTTGCTGCCTTGGGCTGAAGCAGGTGTGTTGCAGTTTTGTTTGCAATCAAATCAAGTAGTTCCACCCTGCAGATTAACTGTGATGAGGTGGAGCTGGCTCTTCCACAAATGAGAGATTCTGGTTTGTTTCCTTTCTATTTCTTCTTAGTCTAAAGTGACTTTTATATACTCAAATGTATCTCATATTTTTGGGAGGTGACGTCAGAGGAATGGCGGCGTAAAGGTGAGTCTGTCTTCCCCCCATCCCCAACATTTCAACAAAATAAACACCTATAATTCAACAAAGAAGTCATGCTCAACACAGATGCATGCCGGAGAGACCTGCAAACCGGAACAACTAAGGTGGGCTCCTTGGAATAAGTGGGGAGATGAGAAGGGAGGGAAGCCAAATGCAGCTAAAGTAACCTTTCATGAGAAACTTGATGGAGGTGAGTGTGGACAGTCCTATGATGAGGATGGAAACAACGCAGAAATATGACTGGGTCATTCTCAAATATCCAAGAAAGTAGATCAGCTCTTCCTTTTTGGGGAAAAACTAAAACCTAGTACTTTGTAGATCCCCAGCCTGTAATCTTAATTCATGTGAGTAAAATAGGGAGTGCACATGTGTGCGCACATGTGCATATATGTGGATAAGTGATCTTGAACATTCCAAATTAGCTATGCTTGGCTTGATTAGAAAAAGATAATAGGTACACTAACTACAAGTGTGCATTGAGGTGGACATGACAGATTTGAAATTATTTGAATCACATATTTCTTCCTCACAGTACAACTATAACTGTCATCTAATAGTTTCTTTTGCTTAAAAGAAAAAAAAAAGTAGCTTGCTAAAATAAAATTTCTATTAGGAAAGACTTGCATTGTTCAAACATTGGCTTAAAGGGGGTGCATAGGGAACAGAGATTATGTGACTAAACTGAGACTTAATAAAACCCAATATTTTTAGCTCTCATTTAAAAATATTTGCCATTTCATTTCTGGGATGACAAGGGAACAATGCTAAGCCTACAATGCATGCATTCTGAGATTTAAAAACAATCCTGGTGTTTTTTTTTTTTTTGTTTGTTTTTTTTTTTGAGTGGAAAGTCATCTTCTTAGCTAATGAAACACCCTTGGTGACTGGGTCTTCTATTCTAAGCATTTCTTTATGTCCCACAAGCCCAAGGAAGAGAAAACTTATAAAGCATAATTTTTGTTCTAAGCAACTTACCCATGGAAGTTGGATATAAAGTCAATTAAAATATATAAGAACACAAATAATAGAATTAGACACACTGAGTGGCCAGATTATTATGATCTCTGAACACATAATAATCTGGCCACTCAATATATATATTAACTGTGATGAGGTGGAGCTGGCTCTTCCACAAATGAGAGATTCTGGTTTGTTTCCTTTCTATTTCTTCTTAGTCTAAAGTGACTTTTATATATCAAATGTATTTCATATTTTTGGGAGGTGACGTCAGAGGAATGGTGGTGTACTGAGGCTCGGTGCATGAATTCGTGCATGGATGGGGTCTGACCAGCCCGGCCAGAGGAAGGGGACATGGCCAGTCTGCCTGCTGGTCAAACTCCTGGTTGAGGAGACAATTTGCATATTAGCCTTTTATTATATAGGATATACACTGAGTGGCCAGCTTATTATGTGTTCAGAGATCATAATAATCTGGCCACTCAGTGTAGTTGTTAAATAGAATAAAGAATAATTAGAGTGGCTGACCTGAGAGGGATTGTTCAAGGAGATGTTGATGAAGAAGGTCTAAGGTTAGTCTTATCAAGAGTCATAAATGAAAGTAAAGATATGAGTGAGTGAAGGAAATAGCACTGGTAGGATGCTTAAGTAGGGGATAGAGGGGTATAAAGGAACATAGTGTATTTTATTGTGTATAAGATCAAGTCCAACAAATGTTCCAACAAAAGTAAAAGAAAGGAAAATATAACATTTTGGTTGTGATGGTCTATAACCCTTTAGTACCATTCTCTGGAATGTCTGTCCCAAATCCCTAACTTCCAGGGATAAGTCCAATATCTTATAAGCATTATATTGGGTAAATCCAGGTGATCTGAAAAATTCTAGATAGTTACATAGATAGTCTCAAAAAATTACAGTAGTTTTAAACTTGGGGAGATTTTCCTGATCCTAGCTTAAATTGCTACATGTTTGATAATTGAAATATCTTTAAAGCTACTGGTCTCTGAAGGCAAACATTCAAACCTCAGTAGAGAGGTTTAGTGAAACTTCCTTGAGATTACTATAAAATCACATGATTGTGGCCACTAGGGAGTTTTATGTTAGATTCGATTGCTACAAATGCTGTCCAATAGAACTTCTGCAACGATGGAAATGTTCTGCATCTGAACTTTCCAATATGGTAGTCATATGTGGCTATTGTGCACTTGAAATGTGGCAGGTGTCACTGAGGAAATTAATTTTAAATTTGATTTAATGGTAGTTAAATTTAAATAACCACATGTGGCTATTAGTTACCTTATTGGACAGCATAACTTTATATAAGGTCCAGCCTAGATCCTGATCTCTGGGACCTACACCTTCTCTCTGATAGAATCCCTTAGGCTTTAGCTATAGCCAGTAACAACCCAGGTTTTGTTACAAATTTATCTCTTGATTGTCACTTCAAAAATTTGCACATGTATATTGTCTGCAATTCACACCTGGAGGAATGTGTGACTAGGTACCATGATTCCACTGTTTGTGGTTTTGGACCTTAGCTTCTGTAACAAGATTGTTTCATTTGGACCATTGGATTTCAAATTATAATGAACATTAGAATTACCTGAAGGGCTTGTAGCACACAAATTGCTGGGCCCCACCCCCAGAGACTCTGATCAGGTAGGACTAAGGTGTAGCATGAAAATTTGCATTCCTAACAAGTTCTCAGGAGATTCTGATGTTACTACACTTTGAGAACCACAGGCTTGGACCCAGCCCCTATCTCATACCCTTGTTCCAATAGCCCAGTTATTGTCTTCATTTTTCCCACTTGAGTCCTTTTTGCAATCCTTTAGAAATAATACAATTTTTCTGGACCTAGAACTTTTCTGTTGTTTACCAGGTTTCCCCCCCCCCCCAGGGGCTGAAGCTAAAGTAGTACCCTGAACCCAGTATGTGTGACCTGACTTGTAGCCTTCATGGTGGCTTGTCTGTAATCCTATATGCTATTTCCTTGAGGCCAAACTCTCCTTGACCTTGTATAGTAACTGTCCGTGGACTTCTCTTTAATGAGCTCCCCACCTATGGGGGTTTCCTCATGTTGCTTAGTACTAAAACTTGCCTAAACACTTCCCATATCTAATGCCCTAGCCTCATCCTCCCACCTGTCCCATCTGCCCCTCCCCACCCCACCATCTAGTTTTGACACACCATCAATAAAGAGTACCTGCCAAGGAAATTGACCTGGCTGAGCATTTTCTCCACCAACAACTCGAGTGAAGTCGTTATATGGTTGGGTGCTTTGAGTGATGTTGTCCAAAATTGTTTCATCTTCAGTAGAATTGTCAGAGTCCGTATTGGAAAAAAAGGCATCGGCACGAGTAAGCTTCAGAGAATTGAATGATACAGAAACTCTCCCACATGGAAATGGCACTAGAAAAATGAAAAGAAAAAAAAAGAGTATTTCTCATTGGCAAGCAGGACATACACATGATTATTTCTTTTTTAAAAATTTAATAAATCTTTATTGTTCAGATTATTACAACTGTTCTTTTTTACCCCATAACTCTCCTCCATCTGGTTCCCATCCCACCCTCTCACCCTCTGCCCTTACCTACCTCCCACTGTACTCATCCAGAGGTGTACGATTTTTGTCCAGTCTCTTCCTGTACCCCCCCATATCCATTTCCCCCTGAGAATTATCAGTCCACTCCCTTTCTATGCCCCTGATTCTATTATATTCATCAGTTTATTCTGTTCATCAGATTTTTTATTCACTTGATTTTTAGGTTCACTTGTTGATAGATATGTATTTGTTGTTCATAATTTTTATCTTTACCTTTTTCTTTTTCTTCCTCTTCTTAAAGAACACCTTTCAACATTTCATATAATACTGGTTTGGTACTGATGAACTCCTTTAGCTTTTTCTTATCTGTGAAGCTCTTTATCTGACCTTCCATTCTGAATGATAACTTTGCTGGGTAGAATAATCTCGGTTGTAGGTTCTTACTATTCATCACTTTGAATATTTCTTGCTACTCCCATCTGGCCTACATAGTTTCTGTTAAATCAGCTGACAGTAGTATGGGTGCTCCCTTGTAGGTAACTGTTTTTCTCTTGCTGTTTTTAATATTCTCTCTTTGTCTTTTGCTCTTGGTATTTTAATTATGATGTGTCTTGGTGTGGTCCTCTTTGGATTCCTTTTGTTTGGGGTTCTGTGCAGTTCCTGGACTTGTAAGTCTATTTCTTTTACCAGGTGGGGGAAGTTTTCAGTCATTATTTCTTCAAATAGGTTTTCAGTATCTTGCTCTCTCTCTTCTTCTGGCACCCCCATAATTTGGATGTTGGTATTCTTGAAGTTGTCCCAGAGGTTTCTTACACTATCTTCAACTTTTTGGATTCCTTTTTCTTTCCTGGTTGAGTGTTTTTTGCTTCTTTTATTTCAAATCTTTGACTTGATTCTTGTGTTCCTCTAGTTTGCTGTTAGATCTCTGTATAATATTTTTTTATTTTAGTCAGTGTATGTTTAATTTCTAGTTGGTCCTTTTTCATATCCTCGAGGGTTTGGCTAAATTTATTGGACTTTTCTAGGGAATTCTTAAAACCTTATAACCGTGGTTTTGAACACTATATTCAGTCATTTGTTTTCCTCCATTTCTTTTGTTTGTAATTTATTACTTTGTATCCACATTTTTGCTGCTTTCCTGAGTTGTTAGGGTAGTTTTGTGTGCTAGGTTTCCTATATGACCCAGTGGGTTGGCCTTCCTGTTTCCTGAGGTAGACAGTCTTGGTGCACTCCTTTGTGGACTGTGTGTACAGCCTTGTTGTAGTTAAGTCTTAAATGTTGTTGGTATCACTGGGAGCAGTTAACCTCCCAGCCAATTGGCTGTGAAGATCATCTGTGTCTACACCTGGAGATTTGTGCTGGAGACAGCCTTATAGAACCAGACTTTTAAAATTCAAAAGCATCTGTGTTCAGCTTTGATGGAGCTGAGTCTCAGGGCTGAGCAGACAGTCTTGGCTTCCAGTCAGCCCTGCCCTTGTGCATGTGCCTCCAGACCTCTGCCTTTGGCAGCTACTCTGAGTTTCCACCTGACAGTCCAGATTCCCCCAGTAAGAGCATGGGTCCCCAGGGGCTCACCTGGTACTGGAATTCAGTGCACTCATAACTGGGGTTCAGTGCAGTCAGGAGCGTTTGACTCCCTTCCACCAGGGAGAGCTAGCAGCAACCCCTTCAGTCAGTCTTCTCTGCACGCACGTTCACACACGTGCTTCCAGATCCCTGCCCACCATGGCTCCCTGAGTCTCTGAGTCTACGTGTGCCTTTCTCTATACCTGACAGTCCAGACTCCCTCCATATGAGCCTGGGTCCATGGGGTTTTGCCCAACACTGGGGTTCGGTGCTGTAGGAACAGGGGTTCAGTACAATCGGGGGCTTCCTTCCTCCTCCCACCAGAGAAAGCCAGCCAGGCACTCAGCCACCATTCCTCTCTATGCACATGTCTCTGTACCTCAGCTCTTTGCAGCTCCTCTGATTCTCTGTGAGCTTTTCTATTTCCTTCTAGTTGTAGAATTTCCACTCAGCCATCTTTCCTGTGGTTCTGTATGATGTCCATTCTATCTTTTAGTTGTAGTTTTGAAACTGTTGTGCAAGGCAGCAGTTTAGGTGCTTACCTATGCCACTATCTTGGTTTCTCCTGATTATGATTTCTGGATGCATGATAATCTGGCCACTTAGTCTATATTGCATATAATAAAAGGCTAATAAGCAAATTGTCCCCTTGACCAGGAGTTCGACCAGCAGGCAGACTGGCCAATCACCCATGTCCCCTCCCCCTGGCCAGGCTGGCCAGACCCATGCACAAATTCATGCATTTGAGTGTGTAGTGGTGATGTTATGAATACACCAAACAGCTGTCAACATGGCAGCATGGTTAACATGACTGGGAAACACTGCCTTGTCCACTGCTGAATGGAGGGACTGTGCTGAGCAGCCTGGCATGGTTTAAAATAGATGGTTGTGAAAACTATTCTGATCTCAAGGGTGTAAACTCAGCCTGAGACCCAAGGGTAGGAAATAACTTTCTCAGAGGAAAGCAGCCACACCTTGGCAGAATCAATCTTCAAATTTTCCCATCCTTGTACTAGAAGCCTATCAGTCCATAATTTATGTATCTTTCATGGCATAGGATTCCTACATTATTTTGTCTGGGTGAATTACAAATATATGTACAAAAACCAATTGCTTCATGATATAAAATTAAAAATAAGTGGATACATGGAAAAAAATTCAAACTAAAGACATTTAGAATTTCTATTTAAAATGATGGAATTTGAAAAATTAATTTTTCCAATTCATGTAACTCCTCTTTTTTATGATTTCATAATGACGTTAAAACAAGTAGGGATTATAATTGTGTAGACTAGTTAAAATGCTAATGGTTCAAATGTAGATTTGGAGAATATATCTGCCAAGCTTTAGAAAAAAAAACTTATTTAGATTTTGACCTGCTGGTTCACAGGACTTTTGGTCTTCTGCAAGTTGGTATCCTGTAGTACAGGAACAATACACCTTGTTATCTGTGCCTTTTGTACAAAACTGCTTGCACTTGCCATTCTTAATGCTGCATGTTTCATCTGAAAGAAAGCAAAACCAACAGTAATAGCATCATTTAACATGCATTTCTAAAAAGTATATGAAACTACTGACTCATGTGTTTCTGGGGCCATTTATGGAGAAAAACCTAGGAACCTTAAGCTAAGAGTAGAAAGATAAAATAAAGTTCTTAATAAGGCATAAAATGGTGGCAGCAATATATTTGATTTGACATAAAACTGAAGGGTTGAATATCCTACTTTCATTAAATTATATGGACTATAATTTAAATGTTTATTAAATATAACACATATTCAGAAAATACCCACAACTTTAGTCTGAATTTTTCACAAAGTGGGTATACCTATTTAAACATTAAACGGATTAATACATAGGACATTATTAACACCCTAACTCTCCTAATGTCTCTTTTCAGTCATTATAGTCCTCCTCCTTTCCAAAATTACCATTATCCTAACTTCTAAAAGTAAATAAGTTTTGCCTGTTCATGAACTTTATATAAATAACGCTCACAATGTGCACTCTTCTGTCTTTCATTTAATATTTTGACTGTGAGATTCATCCCTGTTGTTTTGTATAGCAGTACTTTATCTACATGCTGTGTAGTTTCCCATTGTATAAGTGTTTCTACATTTATTCATCCACTTTACTATTGATGAATATTTAGTTGAATTTCCAGTTTGGGGCTCTTGTTTTTATATGATACAGTTATGAACATTCTTATATATGTTTTTTGGTAACATATGCATACATGTTTCCTGGAAGTATACTTATAAGTAAAATTGTGTTCAGGTTTAGTAGATACTGCCAAGTAGTTTTATAAAATAATTGTAAATGATTTTTATTTAAAAATTTCCTCATTGCCTCACTCCCTTGTCCCTTGCTCTTGCTCCCTAAGATTGTACATCCTAATAAATAAGCTTGTGTCACAGACTCCATTTTTTTTCAGGGGAAATCTAGGCTAACAGAATGACTATATGGTTATAGAGTATATTATGGAATTTTGAGTGACAGGTCTCCTTTTTTTAATTGCATTTTACATAGGCTAGCATAGGGTAAGATAACAATTAGCTCATGTTCTTTACTGACACTTCAGGGAATAAAAGGAGGCTAATCATCAATCAACTGTTGCCAGGTAGAGAAAACAGCCTGAGCTTTAACCTTTGCTACCAATAATCCATTAAGTGCATGATCCAGAGAAATGTAGCTTGCTCCTTTTTACTTATTTTTTTTTAAAGACCTTTCTCCTCATTCATAGTGAATACATGGGGCTAGCTATCATTTTTGTTGCTAAAAACAGTACTAAAGTGTTCAGCCAAATCAAATATAACCTGTATAAAGTGTTCAGTCAATATGAGATTGTGATAAGTTGATAGAAGTTGGTGGTAGGTCTAGCCTGGTTTGGTACAGGGCATGCATAACAGGAATGAGTAAAGACGGTGTGGTTTTCCCAATACTGATTCTGTGCCCTTGACTAAATAACTCTCCATGAATTGTAACATTTGTCCTTGCTCTTCATGACCCAGTATGTTGTTGCTGCTCTCTAGCTTGGTTTGTACATTCAGTGGGAAATATTGCTGTCCAATCAGAAGTCTTTTGCCCTAAGATAAAGGACTCAACATTCTGGAAATAGTATAATAGCACAGGATATCCAGCGGAAAGGTTCATAGTCCAGGATCTAAGGGACAGTCACTATGGGACACATTCATCAATCATTTATTGAGCACTTAGATGTTAGACGCTGTGTTGGATATGGGTCTCCCTGGATCTGAGGCTGGTCTCAGTGCCTAAAACATGTTATTTTACCTCCATGTTGGTACAAACTCTTCTTTCTTGACCCCTCATGTCTACCACAAATGTTACCATTCTGTTTTATTTTGTTTTGCCTTCTACCCTGATATATTCACTGTTATGAAAAACAAAGTGTGGACAAAAAATGTTCTATTTAAATAAGTTTACCATAGAACATGCTATTATTTAATTAAAACTAACGGTATTTTCTTGTCTTCACTCCACAGAAATTTATAGCAAATCAGTAGTGTTTGTGGTCTGTTAGCATAATTTTTAAAAAAGTGTTTTCTTTCTTTCTTTCTTTCTTTCTTTCTTTCTTTCTTTCTTTCTTTCTTTCTTTCTTTCTTTCTTTCTTTCTTTCTTCCTTCCTTCCTTCCTTCCTTCCTTCCTTCCTTCCTTCCTTCCTTCCTTCCTTCCTTCCTTCCTTCTTTCCTTCCTTCTTTCCTTCCTTCTTTCCTTCCTTCCTTCCTTCCTTCCTTCCTTCCTTCCTTCCTTCCTTCCTTCCTTCCTTCCTTCCTTCCTTCCTTCCTTCCTTCCTTCCTTCCTTCCTTCCTTCCTTCCTTCCTTCCTTCCTTCCTTCCTTCCTTCCTTCCTTCCTTCCTTCCTTCCTTCCCATCCTATATTACTATAGAAATATGCCTCTTGTATTCTTAGAAGGAACTGAAATGATCAAGTTTTACATACCTTGATCTATCTGTAGAGGACTCAAATGTGATGTATAGCTAGAGACATACTGATATTTATTCTAGCTAAAGGGACAAAATAGGCAATCAATTGTTATTTTTCTAACTAGAAAACGGGTCCTGAATGTTGGTACATCTCTGCCCTGGAGAGGAGCCTCATAGACAAGGGAAAATAAAAATAAAAAGGTCTGAACAATGGAAATCTATCTTCTGTTTACAAGCCAAGATGAGGCAAGAAACTTGGGGCCCAGATATTTCATAAACTGTGCTATCTAGGAGCTTTTGAGATTAGTCTAGATTATTCTTTAGTTCAGTTTGAAGCAATGGCAATGGGAGTTTGTATGTTTTCTCTTTTCCTTTCGCTCTAGTTTCTGAGATAAAGAGATTATTGAGAGAATTCTCAGTTTGTTTCTGAACTAACTGAGCTGGGAAGATTTTTCTAAATCCTGATTGGATGGGCCGAGAGATATCAATATAACCCAGAGGCCAGATTTGGTGGTGGAAGCAGTTCAACCAATCCAAAATGTGGGGAATCTGAGAGGACTGAAATGGGTCCAGTTGTACACTTAGTACTTTTGTTTTGTGGTCCATAGCCTCACACATGTAGCAAAACATTTTAAGGATTCTTTGTGTTCATATTTATATTCTCAGGGCTCATATTTATATTCTCAGGGCTATTCTATTTTTAACCTAAAGACATATAGGAATACTATTTTCAATTATACTTTACTACAATACAATGTATTCTTCATTCTTAACTGAATCTAATTGAGTTGATAATTCCCTTACTGCCAATAGTTATAGTATTTAAGCTGCAAATGAGTAACTACTTCAAATATTTATGTAGATTTTCATAATAGCAGGATCAAATTTATCTAGGTAAATGTGAATTTGAAATTATAACCTTTCAAATGAAAGTGGCACCTCAGAGATGTTGAACCAATTAACATAACCACAGGAAAGGTAACCCAAGTTTACACCTCACTAGGAAATCTGAGGGAATGGGAATTCAGGCCATGTATACCAGCTCATCCACCTGCATTCACTCTTTTCTTTTAAAATGTTTTGTCCCTTCCACCTTTTTCTTTTCTTATCTTCTATTCCTTTTTATCTTTTTTACTTGAAAGGAAGATGACCAATGGATTTCTCTTTAATACTGAAAGGATTTCTGAACATTACAGGTGACTTATTCCCCTTTCTCAATAGGACACAGGCAGCAGCTTGAGTTTCATTTTGTTGTATGCCTTTCTCATCTATGTATCAGGTGGATTGCTATAACACCTTAATAGAGTCTTGCTAATTTTTGACTCTTTGCCCTTAGTTATATAACCCTTGATGTTAAATTCTCTCTCTAGGATCACATCTCTATTCTTCTGGAGTTTCAGAGTAGAAAGAAAATCTGTCACTAGTACTGTGTGCTTTTCACAATCACAATACCAGTAATCTTGCATCCAGAGGAAATAAACAAGTAGTTAAAGGACTTTGGGTATGTATAGTTCTAATTGCCAAAATCTCAGAAAAAAAGAATATTCTAGGCAATGAGAGAAAAAGATACATGCTAAACCTAAATTTCTTATGAACTCTTTCAGTGCAAACAATGTATGATCTTAGATTTTTAGTATATATAGTAATTGGTATTTGTGAAGAAGTGGCTATTATATGAGAGTACTGACTTTGCCATACCTCAAATATGTAGTTGTTTGACTTACACTGCCTATGTTTATAACAATTCAGTCATGAGTTCAGTTGATGGGTTTAGTTTTCTTTGCATTTTGTGGACATTAGTTAGAAGCATGGGTTTAGGTCAGACAAACTGAAGTTCAAGTTCTGGCTTGAACATTTACTTGCCTCTGTGATTTTAAGCTATAGTTTTTCTCATCGTCATGGAAAGGGGATCCTAGTAATGGTACTGACTGCATATGGTTGCATTGAGGATTAATAAGTGAGTGGAACATCATTACTTATTATCCACCAAATATTATTACTCAATATAATTTCTTGATCTCATCCTGGAAACTATGACTATAGATAAAATGAATGTTTATAAGCTTTGAAAGTATGTTTTACAATGGGATATTATTCAGCATTTAAAGGAAACCCTTTCATATGCAACAACATGGATGAAACTGGAGGACATTTTGCTAAATGAAATAAGCCAGTCACAGGACAAATACTGCATGATTATATAAAGTGCTTTAAAAAGTCAAAAACATAGAAGCCAAGAATGGGGAAGGAAGGGAAAATGGGGAGTTCCTCTTCAATTGGTATAGTTTCTGTTATATAAAATGAATAAGATCTGGGCATCTGCACAACATTGTCCCTGTAGTTAATAATATTGTGTTGTACACTTCAAAATTTGTTCAAAGTGTAAGTGTAGATCTTATGTTGTATTCTTTACCACAATAAAAATGTATACGTTTTTAAGGGAAAATTATGCTACATAAATATTGCATTTTCCAGTCTCAAAGTGAATTTTGAGCCATGAGTAATCCAAAACTAGCTACTTACCTAGTTCACAGTTTTTTCCTTCAAATCCAATTTGACACCAACATTCGTAGGAATTAATGTCATCTTTGCATAGGCCGCCATTTAAACATGGATTAGACTCACATTGATCTCCATCTTTGAGATAGGTTAAAACATTGAATTAGAAGATGAATTGTTTAGAATGCTTGGTCCTCCTTGCACAAACTCATGGTAAGGGGAGCATGATTTTAGGGTCAGAGAAGAACTCTTGACCTGGAATCCAGCTGCTTACAGGGCATCCCTGGCTTCCTGCATTTCTAAAAACAACTTAGGCTAACACTGTCCTAAGAAATTACCTTGAAGAAGACATGTGCATAGTTCATGTAACTGGAAGAGGAAAGAGAGAAGAATGTTTAAGTATAAAAATGTATTTTTTTCAGTATATAGTGAGAAGAATTTTTAGTCCTTTCTTATAGAATGGGTGGTAGAGTTAATTCCAAATCAAATCACATCACTTCAAAAATCATTATTTATACTAGAGGCCCTGTGCATGAAATTTGTGCATAGGGGGGGGCGGTCCCCTCAGCACAGCCTGCACGCTCTCTAATCTAGGACCCCTTGGGGGATTGGGCCTAAACCAACAGTTGGACAGCCCTCTCACAATCCAGGACCACTGGCTCCTAACTGCTCCCCTGTCTGCTTGCCTGCCAGATCACTCCCAACTGCCCCCCCCACTGGCCTGGTCATCCCTAACTGCCCCTCGGATAGCCTGATCACCCATTATTGCCCCCCCCCTGCCGACTTGGTCACCCCCCCCCCTGCCGGCCTTGTCACTCTTAACTGCTCCTTGCCAGCTTGGTTACCCCTTACTGCTCCCCCTGCCATCCTGGTCACCCCTCACAGCCCCCCTCTGCTGGCCTGGTCACCCCATGCAGCCTGCTGCTCAGTGATTTGGTTGCCCTCACTAACCTTCCTGCTGGCCTGGTCGCCACATGCAGCCTGTTCGGTCCTCTGTTTGGTTGTGATGGTTGCTTAGGCTTTTATATATATAGATGTCATGCAAAGCCTGCTCTTTCACAGATCTTGTAGTGTGAGCTGAGTCAGATATGGTACATCTATTCAAGAAACTGCTGGCCTAGGCTTGAAGCAAATGCATCTTCTTCCTTAATATATATATATATATATATATATATATATATATATATATATATCCCTAATATAGACCAAAGGGCAGAACACTGAACAACCAGTCGCTATGATGTTCACTGACCACCAGGGGTGTGCATGGAACATGGTTAGCATCGGCTGTGGCAGGATGGTGGAGCAGGTGAGTGGGGGCATAAGACCAAGATGGGGTGTTGGTCATTGTCATCAGGGTGAGCCTCTAGTTGTTACTGAAAATTCTTCATGCCTGTGCCATGATCCTGCCCAGCACTTGCACCTGATGTCAGTGCTGGGCCCGCTTGAATCTGCTGCTCATACCTTCAGCTGGCTCCCAGCACTGGTCCTGATTGCTCGGCACTTTCAGTGGGTGCAAGCAGCAGCTGCTGGCCACAGTCACCCTGGAAGGCTTCTCCACCTCCCCCTGCTCCTGAGGGGCTATTGGAGCAGCAGCTGATGCTCACATACGGCCCCACTCACCCACAGCTGATGCCAGTGCCAATCACTTTGCCTTGTCAGCAGGTGTGAGCAGGACCAGTGCTGTCAGCATGTGAAAGTGACGGCAGTGAGAGTGATGACAGGAGACTGGGGGCCACACAGGAGTAGTCAGGCAGGGGCATGGAGAATGGGCTGAGACCTGCCTCTGTGTCCATTGCAACCTCATGTCCCACAGTTCCTTTCAAGGTGCATGAATTCATGCACTGGGCCCGTAATATATCTACACTAATAAAAGAGAAAATGCTAATTGACCGTCCCTTCACCACACCCACAGCCAATCAGAGCAAGTATGCAAATTAACTTAATAAAGATGGAAGTTATTTTGCATACACTGAGGGAAGGAGGAGTGAAAATTGAAGACAGCTTAGAAGGAAGAGGGAGGAAAAGTAGAAAGCAAGGTGGCTGCCAGAAGGAAAGCACAGGTGGCAGCGGTGGCAGCCACAACAGTGGTGGTGGGTGGGGTGCGGTGGTGCGGGGCGCTTGGCCGCAGTGGCCACTTACAGGAATCTTCCTACAAACGGGCTCTTAGAATATATATATTCACCCAAGGGTATTTTTCCATTGATTTTTAGAGAGTGTGGAAAGGAAAGAAAGAGACAGAGGGAAACATCAATGTGAGAGAGACACATCCATTGGTTGCCTCCTGCAAGCACCAGGGCTGGGGAACCTGCATTATTCCTTGTGTTATCATTTAACTTTTACATATAATATGCAGTTATAATTTGAAACAGTAGAAAAAGATGCTAGAAGCATCTGTTACTATTTAAATATATTCTATGAGTTAGGTCCCAAATGGTCTAAGTAAAGTGAGAAACAACTTTCAATAAACAGAATCAAAGAGAAAAATTTCTAAAAATGTCCCTTTTATGTGTATATCGAGTATGTTTCCTTTCTACCTTTCCTAAAGTTTCTACATTTATAGAATTCTTGAAAGCCTTTGAAGACACTGGTGGTAAGAAAACAGGGGAAAGAAATAGGCAAGAGGGGAAGGAAGAGTTAGGATGAGAAGGGAACCTTTAAGTCAGGTTTCTTAGACCTCTGCCTCCTTCCATACTTCTAAGGAAGTTTCAGGAGAAAAGTATGAATAGGTCCAGAAGGTAGGTTTGTATGCACTTTGAGCTAATATAAATAACCCTGAAGAAAAAATGGGAGCTATATCAACAAGATAATATAAGAGATACAAAACAGTGGAAGATAAAGTTGATATAAGAATGAAAGAATGGGAGAAAAGGGTCAACTAATTTCTAATTATCAGTCATACTTTAGAGCAAAACTTCTTATCATTTAGCATGTAGATCATTATCTGCTTTAGGGAGAGCAATAGTGTGTCTGTCATACTCTCTGTCAGTAGCATGTATCTACCAGTAAGTCCCATTGATTAAGGACTAATATCCATTCTTAGAAATAGCTCCTCTCTGGAAAGTCTGCTTGTCCTCTCTGCACCTTGATCCAGTGTGCTTATGCATAAATACTTCCATTTGTTCCAATTCTATAAAAACAAAATATGTTATATCTGGATTGTTATTATTGATGTTCAGAACTGTTCTAAAAAAATGAGCTACATTTCCACTTTATGTTATAGACCAATGGATCTGAATTATTTAGGGATGTTTCACTGAAAGGGTCTGGGCTTGCAACCAGCTAGCTACACAGCAACTAATTTGCTGAGACATATCTTTAAAATGAGTGTCATTTTATCCTGCATTTAGTCCTCCTTTGGGTGCTTGTCTGTGTGTACTTTAGGCTGAGGCAAAGCCACAGACGGTAGCAGTCAAAGACAAGGGACCAACCAGATCTTGCCAAGAGCAGTTCCTGTTTAAGGCTACTAGGTCAGTGTTTAATGAATAACTGCACTTAAATTTGAAGGCTCAGGGGGGCGTAATATTGAAGGAAAGGGGTTGGCTTCATGACTCCCAAGCTAGGTGATCTTTGAAAAGTCTTTTATTCTTCCTAAACCTCAGTTTCCTCCTCTGTGAAATGAGGCTAATAATATTTTCTTCACATGGTTGGTATGATGGTTAAGTATGACAGACACTCTATAAACTATAAAGTACTTGTCAGATGCTGGTTAATGTGATTTAATGCTTTATGTTGTGAGTTGATGGTACAGAATAGAGCAGGAGTGAGAGGTCTGTGTCCCTGATGTATGTGGCAGCCCACACAGTGATAACTAGCATAGGCTATTTGGGGGGCAATTAGGAATCTCAGTTGCAAGTGAAAAGAGGCATGGAGTTACTATATTTTTCTTTTTGGTCCTTGTTTGTCTTTTATTTTTTTATAGACAAATCAGTAGTGACAGAAGCATGTCCTTAATGTTTCCCATTATCTTTACCTGAATACAGTAACCACTGCCCATGATTTAGAAGGCAGGAGCCCATCTACAATATAGGGGTCTTAAAAGGTACTGACTTTGCTAGGGGAGTGGTATCTTGGGTCAGGGGTGGGCAATGAAAGGATCATGGGAGTTTAAATACAGCCAAGATATTAGGAATTGGTGTATTTTAAAAATATATCACAAGCTTCAAAAATTTAAATATAGTAGAAACAGAGAATGAGAAGACTTGTTTGGACGAATTGTAGAGGAATAACTCAGTAGAGAATTGGCATGGTAGGGTTCATTACCAAGGCCAAGGAAAAGCAGATAAAGCAAATGTAATGGACAAAACCTCTTCTTCCTCCATGATTTAAAAACAAAAATGGGCCCTAGCTGGTTTGGCTCAGTGGATAGAGCATCGGCCTGGGGACTGAGGGGTCCCAGGTTCAATTCCAGTCAAGGGCACATGCCCGGTTGCGGGCTCCAGTGGGGGGCATGTAGGAGGCAGCCAAATAATGATCCTCTCTCATCATTGATGTTTCTATCTCTCGCTTCCTTTCCCTCTCTCTCTGAAATCAATAAAAATATATTTAAAAAAATTTTAAATGGAAGAAATATGAATTATGAGAACATGAACAAGCCCAGCAATGCCTCCAGAATAGAAACTAGAAATTATAACTGGATCTCAAATTGATGGAATTCAGTGAATTTGCTGCTCAAGTAAGTCAACCTGTAAAATTTACATTGTCACAAAATCCTGTTGCTGGATTTTAAATTAACTTTAAAACTTAGTTGGAACAAACTGAGGAATCTCAGAGGAAAGGAGAGTGAGGGTGTGGCAGGGAAAGAGTAACCAAATAACTTATACACATATACGCATTACCTATGGACCACAGATAGTAGGGTGGTGAAGGTGTGGGGTGGGGTGGGAACTGGGTAGAGGGGGCAATGGGGAAAAAAGGACATCTGTAATAATCTCCACAATAAAGATAAAAAATCTTGGTTGTCATTAATTTTTGACTTTTCCTTATTGTGGTAAATTTATTTAACAAATATTTACTCAGTGCTTCTTTCCAGATATTGTTTGAGGTACTAGGAATACATCAGTAAACAAAACAATTGAATACTGTATCAACGTGAAGGTTGCCATCAAGTGAAGTGGGAAAATAATAAATAGTGTAATAAGAACATTATATAGTACTTCAAATGGTGAAAAGTGCTGTGAAAAATAATAGAGCAGGATATGGTATCTGGAGTGAAGGGGTTATGGGAGGGGAAGGTTGAAGTGTTAATAGATGATCAAAGTAGGCTTCATCAAGATGGTGATATTTGGGCAAAGACCCAAATAGAGGTGAGGTAGTGAGCCTAGGAAATCTAGCAAAAGAGCATTCCACATGAAAAGAACAGCTAGATCAAAGACTCTAAAATGGGAGCATCCCTAGAGTGTGCAAGAAACATCAGGGAGTGCAGGATGGCTGGAGTCCATCTGTTTTCTTCCAGCTTCCTGGGGTGGACAGATGTTTCTTTTGAAGCCCTGTGGAGAAGTAAGCTTATCTGCCAACTGACATTTCTCATGCTGGCATACCTGTGGTATTCAATCTTGGATAAAGTAATGGAACTTACTTATCTGAATCCCTTTGTCAAAGTTTAATGTATTATGTATTTAAACAAAGAAAAAATACATATTTCTTAAATGTTTCATATACAAGTTAGAGGATAAAATGAATTGCTTACCAACATATTGCTTCCAAAATTCAGTCTATAAAGAAAAAGAGGAGAAGTTAATGGTGGCATTTAAAATGTCTTAGATTTGATTCCTTCTCTTTTATAGCATTTATAATACATATATATGTATAGGTATTTTAAAATCACAAAGAGAAGTTTCTCTATTACATTTACTATTCTTTGCATTTGAATAATGTTATGTGGAAATACTCACAGTTTTTTCAGTGTTTTCAAAAACTTCTCGTGCTTCTTCAAAACTGCACTTTTCTTCTCTACATTCTCTCTCAAGGTTCCCTTGAACAAACTCTTCCAATTTACCTGAATTATATCTTTTTGGTCGATTCAGAATTTTGGTGGCATTTTCACGATCAAGAAAAACTGAAATTAAAAAAACAACAACTATTCTTTAGCTTTAGGAAAAATAAAACATCATGAAAATTAAATATATCTTTTAGGGAAGGTTTTGTTTTTAATCCAAGTAATCCCAAAGCCAATTTATCTTTGGGGCATAGAGACAAAATGTATGATGTTCTTGTGATACTGTATACACATTGAGATTTAGGAATTTAAATTAAATTTGATTTTTAGTCTAAAGAGCTCCTATAATAAAAGGTCAGATTTTCAATCATATTTGTACTTTGGGTGAAAAAGAAAGTTCTTAAATAACCAGTTAACTTCACACTTTTTGATTATTTGAAAATAGCCAATTGCAGATGTTTTGCAAGGTGATCCATCACCCTTGCTGAGCTATGCTTTCAGGATACAGTTGCCCAAATGATTGCAACAAATATCTCTTTAAAGAACAGAAACCTATTTGTGGTCCTGCTCCAAATGAAACGGAAGGTTTTCTCACTAACTTTAAAAGAAAAACCACTGCATTAATTTTTTTAAAAAAAAAATCTTTAGACCCACAACACCTTCAGTTGACATGTGTTGTAGTAAGAATTCCAGTGATATGTCTTTTGCTTGGATTCAGGATGTGATTTATTTTAGCTACTAGAGGCCCGGTGCATGAAATTCGTGCACAGGAGGGTATGTGTCCCTCAGCCAACACTGCACCCTCTCCAATGTGGGATATCCTCTCACAATCTAGGACTGCTGGCTCCCAACTGTAACCTGCCTTCCTTCCTGATTGCCCCAAACCGCTTCTGCCTGCCAGCCTGATCACCCCCTAACCAGTCCCCTGCCAGCCTGATTGCCCCTAACTGTCCTCCCCTACAGGCTGGTCCTCCCACCTGCTCTCCCCTGTAGGCCTGGGTCCCCCCCAACTGGCCTCCCTTGCTGGCCTGATTGCCCGCAACTATCCTTCCTTGCAGGCCTGGTCCCTCCCAGCTGCCCTCCCCTGATGGCCATCTTGTGGTGGCCATCTTGTGTCCACATGGGAGCAGCCATTTTGTGTGTTGGAGTAATGGTCAATTTGCATATTGCTCTTTTAGGCTAGAGGCCTGGTGCACAGGTGAGGGCCAGCTGGTTTGCCCTGAAAGGTGTCCTTGATTAGAGTGGGGGTTCCCTTGGGGCAGGGGCAGCCTGGACCAGGGGCCTGTGGTAGTTTGTCATCCGGCCATGCTCCCTGGTGACCCACACAGAGGCCCTGATATTTGGGGTTTATTTATCTTCTATAATTGAAACTTTGTAGCCTTGAGTAAAAATCAAGGAAGGCCAGGGTGTGAGGAAAGCTTCCTCCATCCCTAGGGAAATCCAAGCCACCTGCTCACTCTGTGACCACAGCCATCTTGGTTGGGTTAATTTGCATATTCACTCCTGATTGACTGGTGGGAATGGCTTGTGGGTATAGCGGAGTGGTGATTAATTCGCACATTACTTTTTTTTATTAGGATGACTGCATAGCCTGTAGAGACATTCCTGAGCTCTAAAGGATTGAGATCTCTAAGCTAATTTTTCCACTCACTCCCTCCCTCCTCAATCTCAATCCTCTCTCTCTCTCTCTTTCTCTTTCTCTCTCTCTCTCTCTCTCTCTCTCTCTCTCTCTCTCTATATATATATATATATATATATATATATATATATATATATATATATATATATATATCAATCACCTGGAGTTATTTCTTTCTTCAAGAGATTATCTGATACCATCTGAATAGAACCAGGTCCTTATAAAATGAACTTTCCAAGGAATTTTGGGGATGTTTTCTCATTAAATCCAAAAAAGAATAAGAAAAGAAACAAACTAAACTATATTCCTCTCTTTTCATTGCATCTCTTCACTTTGTGAGCCCTTCTAGTTCCTTGACAACCTTACTTTTCTCTTGTTTAGCAAATGCTCTTGGGGTTTCACTTTTTCCCTAAATTTAGCTTAGACTTCTTCTCTTCACATGTCAGTTTTCTCAGTTCCCTTCACCCCTTTTCAGTGCTGCAATACCCTCCAATCCAAACCACTAGATCAGTGCAGCTATCTGCTGCCTTCCTTCTCTTCTGAGGCAGCTGAGCACCTTGTGAGATAATTTCAAAGCTGCAGGTAGATGCCATCGCATATTGATGCCTCCCAGCTTCTACCAGGCCCTCCACCCCAGCTAAGCAATTCATGGATTTGGTCCTGGGCACATCTATAATAGCATCTATGTCTGAATCCATTTATAGTGTGATCTAGTGGAAAACAGATTTTTGGAGTCAAACAGATCAGACAAACCTGGATTTGAATTTACAACTTGCTGGCTGTGAGATCTTAGGCAAATTACACAATCTTTGAAGCTTAACTTGATATGAGTATACTAGTAGTATAAGAATACTAGAGGCCAGGTGCATGAGTTTGTGTATTGTGGGGTCCCTAAGGGTGCCCTGTGAGGATTGAGCCTGAGCTTGCACCCCCAGCCTCGCAGCCCAGCAGCCTGGACTGGTAACCTGACATGGCCTGGCACCTGCTCCAAATCATCCTGCCTGTAAGACAATTGATCAAGGCCAGAGCTGGGTGGACGCCCTGCTCCATGCCATCACCACTGGGCGATCTGGTCTCCACTTGCACCTGCCTTGTCCTGGCCTGGCTCACCTGTCATGGTCCCGCTCTAGCTGAGACACATCAGGCCCACAGCGCCTCCACTGCCACCCATTGCCACCACTGCATTGCTGACACCCACCATATTCTGTGCCAAACCCTGGTCAGCGCATGCCATAGAGAGTGGTTGAACTCCCAGTCAAGCAATTTGCATATTAGACTTTTATTATAATAGATAGACTGTACTTCACAGTATTGTTGATAGGATCAGTGAAATAATAATATGTGTAGGCTTGTATTATATATGTCAGTCATCGCTCTTCTTCCTTACTAACTCACTTGCTCCCTTCCTGGAAAATAAAACTGGATCTCAAATTTATGGGACTCAGTGACTTGGCTGCCCAGTTTAGTTTCCGCTCATCCAGATGGTCTTAAATAAATCAACTGTAAAACTGATAGTCTCAAAATTTTCTCAATTCCTTATGGCTCTTCAGTGCTCTTTTCTGTAGCTCTTTCCCTTCTTTACTGGCATCAATGTAATGAAATGACTCGTCAGTATCAGCCATGACTTCCTAATGTATAATTTTGAGTTTATGTATTTCCTGACTCCTCTGAAACATGTCTACTTATTAATCTCTCCCTTTTCAGGACACTCTTTCATTAAATCACTATTCTGGCTCTCTTCTTTACTTTAACTCTTGTTATTCATTCACCACTTGAATCAGTTAATTCCCCTCTTCTGCCTGCCCTCAGAGTTCTCTCAGGCTCCAGTTTCAACCTTTTCCCTTTTCATTCCATCCATCCTTGTCAAGGTCAGAACTGGGGTAAGGTAAACAAGACATTTACTACACAAAATTGAAGGAGGCACTCTCTTTCAGTGTGTGCAAGTACACTCATGCCCTACCCTAATCTATCCCTGACTCTTTCAATACAATTTTCTGAACAGTCACTACAACCAGACCCTGTACTAGTGCCATAATATCCATGCTAACTCTCTGGATCCTCATACACACAGTTGTAATTACTATTATTCAACAGTGCATTCCAAATATTTATCTCTAGTCAAATACATCTTCTGAATTCCAGATCTTATTTTCAGATCCCTAACTGTACATTGCAATGTGATGAAAGACAGCTGATGTTTATTAATGCTTATGATATTAATAAACTGGGCTCAGTGCTTTGCATCCATTATTTTATTCCGTCCTCATAGCAGTCCCATGAAGAGGTACTGCCTTCTCATTTTTGTTTTGTGACTGAAAAAAACAGAAATTCACAGAGGTTAAATAATTTGCCTCAGGTTACACACTAAAGTGTCACAGCCAATATTTCTACTTTGGTAGTCACATGCACAGTCCATGCTGTTAGGCACTAGGTTGTGTCCAATAATCACATAAAATGTCCAGGACATACTCTATACACTTTTTCTAAACCTATTCTCCTCTTATACCAAGATGGTTAAGTCATATATTTTTTACTTCCTTAATGTTACTTGAATTCCTTTCCCTCCTTTTTCTATATTGCTAATGTCCACATTCAGGTTCTCCTGCTTTCCCTGGATGATTGCAGTAACCTCAAGACTGGTTTCCCCTAGTCTTATAACCCTTCCCTAAAAAGTTTATTAGAATGTTGTCAGCATGAGCATGCAAAATAACCCATTAGTGATATTTGTACTTCTGATGACTACACATTGCTTTCTATTGTCCAAACTCCTTAGTTTAGGACTTTAATTATCTGATGGCCTGACTCTGCCTAACTATCCTTCCTGACTTGTCATATTCAATATTCAAAACATACTGAGTTATTGAATATCCTCACATTCTTTGTGGATCTGGATCTTTACACATGAATGATCCTGTCTCCATAGAATTCCCTAGGTCAGACATTTAAGAAGAGGGAATTTACTCACTTTTTAAGACTCAGCTCAAAATATTGTCTGTCAGGTGTTTCACTAGTTAATGTATTTCTTTTTCTATGTTCCTTTAGCATCTGGTACATACTTTAGCACATTATATTGAAATCTGTCTTCTGACCTCATGATGCTTTAGGATAAAGAGGAGAATTTGGTTTATCCCCAAGGCCAGAGTACCTTGCCACAGTGCCTGGTACCATAACAGTCACTCAGTATTCTAAAGTCTTGTAAAGTATATAGATTGAAGTTATGTTTTATTCATTCCTTTCATTCACTCATTCTGAATGAAATACAGTTTTGGTTCATGCACCTTACAAAACTGAATTGGTTTCACAGAACAGTTTTGATTTCAAAAATCTACATTGATCCAATAAAACCTAAGAGCAACAGCCATAAAATTGCAACATCTCAGTAAATCATTAACCTAAACTGTTTTTTAGAAGCCAATGACAATTGAACAGCAGCAAAGAATGCTGCATCAATACTGCCCATCTTAGGAAAATTCCCCTGGCCCTCTCCTTAAGGGCCTATTACCTTTGACTCCAATGACTCCAGAATAACACTGTCTTTCTCCTCAGTATTGCTTGAGATCATATTTCTACCCTCTTTTTAGGCTTATCTCTTTTAGTCATTATTTCCAAAGCTCTGAAATATCAGTTCCTCTTTTTCCTTCATATCTATCCTTTTCTCCCAGCATCTGAGGTCTTTGAGCAATCAGTAGCCCTCTTAAAAGCACCATCATCTTACCACTTATCATGAAGGAAGGGCTTGGATCCTTTGTCCTGCTGACCTCACACTGAAGAGATATTTGTAAAATCCTAGCCTTATGTCCTGCTTTTAGTTTTCATGCTAAATTTCTTTATTCCTGGACTCTACCCATTTTGCTAGTTTGATTTAACCTTTGCATTCTTGTATCATTATTTCTGTATTTCAGTCGGACATCATGTCTGGAGTGGGAACCATGGGGCCAGTCTGCTTTCTGGGGATGCTTAGGGTTGGCATCCCTGATCCTGGCACTCTCAGCTACTAGATTTGATTATAGTAGGCTGACAAGTAAGTGTGATAAATTCTTCCTGTGAGAACATACTGTTTGTCTAAATGAGGTAATTTCTTTCCTGTGTGCTTTCCTTTGGGGACAGTGCATAAAGTCACGAAAGCTGTGGGGAAAAAACAAGTGATCCACATAGCATTAATCAGTTACTACTCTTCATGTCAATTCTTGGACTGGCTTTGCTCTCCTAAGAATTTGAGTATTGAGTTTCCCCATTTAGTAACTCTGAGATCTTCAAAATCAGAAATAAAACAATTTCTTCCTGATCCATGAAAAATTTAATGATAAATAACAATGTACAAATGAAAAATTTGTCTGTTTTAACTAAAATTTTAAATTGAAGCTATATAATTTTATAGATTTTTAAAATTAAAGGCATGCCTTATTATATAGTTACAAAAATTTGAAATACTTCATTTATCCTTTTTATGTTTTGTGTTGTTAATTCTCACCCGAGGATATTTTTTTCTGTTGATTTTTAGAGAGACTGGAGGGGAGGAAGAGGAGAGAGAGAAAAAGTGATATGAGAGAGAATACATCAATTGGTTGCCTCCTGACCAGGGCCAGGAATCGAACCTGCAACCAAGGTATGTGCCCTTGACCGGGAATCATACCCATGACCCATTGGTGCACTGGCCAATCTTCTAACTACTGAGCTACACTGTCCAGGGTGAAATACATCATATATCTTAAATCTATTTTTTTGTGCAGATAAAACCATTCTTTGTAATTTTAATGTTTCCCAGTTTGATTTCAAAGTGGTGAGTAAAAGTAACCAAGCAACAGTTAATTTTTCTTCATATTTTGCTATTTCCTTGTTAAAGTCTTTCCCCACTTTTAATTTTTTTAACCAAGGAGATAGATGCTTTATAAGAGGAATTACATTGTCAAATCATAAACTCAAAGTGTCCATTAAAAATATACCATATACATACCAAAAAATATACCATAATCTTTAAAAATTAAGATTTATATACCAGAGAACCAGTACTTGTCAACACACATACTGATTACTAGAATCTTAAACACTGCTGTCAAATCATATAATCGTTATTTATGAAGAAGATAGAACCAGACATTTCTATATCTTAAAGACAAGCATACTCAATATATCTTTTAAAATGAAACAAACCTGTACATTCAGCACTGAGTAGATATCCTAAAAGACAGATGGTGATGAGGCCTGCTGATTCTGCCATGATCATATTCCGGCACTGCATAACCCTTGCTAGTTGATTGTGCAAGTAGCAAGGTTGACCAATTATTCCAAAGTACAAACTGAACTGTATTTACTTCTGGGAAACAATGTTAGTCTCCCTCAGTGGGTTTTTGGGTTATTTGCATTGGCTTCTCAGGTTAAGTGAAGAAAATAGGCAGTAGCCACCATTAAATTTCACCTGTCATGCCATGGACTTTTGCCCCCATGCCTGATTTGAGGCTGAAGCAGAAAGCAACACATAATTAAAATAAGGGGAGGTATAATGGCTATAGTTGCTGTGGCAGCAAAATTTATCAGTGGGATTCATATTTTCTTTGTCAGGGAGCACTACTATCATATAGTTTAAAGATAAAGAGATGGGAAGTACAAAGCATTTGGTCATTCTCCTTGAAACACCCCCAATGCTTACATACAATGAGTCACCTGGTGGATCTTTTATGTTCTTCTCACAATGAGGAGTTTATAAACTTTGTTGTGCCATATACCATATTTTGAATCATATGGACCTTGTCTCAGAACACATGTACGTATGTGTGAATATGTATGTATATACAAATATACGTATATATTATGTATATAAATATAAATGAATATTATATAATAGTTAATATATTACTCCACTTCACATCTATAATAATAAAAGCATAATGTTCTAATTAGACTAGATGTTCTTCCGGATGACCTTCCAGAAGAAGCTGGGGCTGTGAGGGAAGCCAGGTCCTAGGTGCCAGAGGGAAGCCAGTGCTGACAGCCAAAGGAAGGAAGGCCTACTCTTGCATGAATTTCGTGTATCAGGCCACTATAAAAGACCCATAACAATATTTTTAAAATATTTTTTTCTTTATTGATTAAGATATTACATATGTGTCCTTATCCCTCCAGTGCCCCCCTATGCCCCCCACTCATGCCTTCACCTCCCTGGTGTCTGTGCCCATTGATTAAGGATGCAAAACATTCTATCAACACTTACCTACCATTTTTGTGCTGTTGTTGTGATACATTTGATTTCTACATGCTGTAAATCCTGTATTACATTATTATTACTCCTGTAATTTCACAAAGAAATTAAAAAATGAGAAAAATAGTTTATATTTATCTTCATATTAGCTGTTATGATGTTCTTCATTTTTTTGTATAAATCCAAGTTTCAATCTGTTATAAGTTTTCATCACTGTGAAGATTTTTCTTTAATAATTTTGATAATCTAGGTCTTATGATGAATTTTCTCAGCTTTTGTTTATTTGAAAATATCTCTATATTTCTCTCATTTTTAAAAAGTAATTTTGCTGTATCTACAATTGTAGGTTGATGGTTTTTCCCCCCAGCACATTAAATATGTCATTTTATTGCCTTTTGGCATCCATTGTTTCTGATGAGTAGGCAGTAAGTTTTCTTAACATTAACTTTTAGCTATTTAACTATAATGAAGCCAAGGTATTCTTGGGGTTCATTGAGATTCGTGGATCTGTGGTTTGGTAATTTTATTAAAATTAGAAAAAATATTGGAAACTTAACTTCTAAAACTTTGTTTTGCAATCAGGAAATTGCAAAAGCAATAAAGATGAATCCCATATACCATTCACCCATTTATTCCCAATGTTTACATGTAATATGCAAATTAGGCTGTTCCATTGGTCCACTGCTGGAGGGGCTAAGAAATGTCATATCCTGCCCTAGCAGGTTTGGCTGAGTGGATAAAGCTTCAGCCTGATGACTGCAAGGTCCTGGTTTGATTCTGATTAAGGGCATGTACTTAGGTTACAGGCTAAGTACATGTCCTTAATCAGAATCAAACCAGGGGCCCAGGTCAGGGCTGGGGCCCAGGTCAGAGCTCATGGAGGCAACCAATCAAAGTGTCTGTCTCATATTGATGTTTCTCTCTGTCTCTCCCTCTCTCTTCCACACTCTCTAAAGACCAATGGAAACATATCCTCAGGTGAGGATAAATAAAAAAGAAAGAAAGAAAGGTCATATCCTATGAAAGACACATCTTGAAAATGACTAAAGAAAGTTGTTACTTTTTCATGGTGAAGGGACTGGAGTCCATGTTGATGAAAACACCTTAGCAAATGCAGTGGCTGGCAGTGGCTGCAGCAGAAGGTTGATGGGGCTGGTGCCTTCCCCTGATCAGCCCGGTCACTTCCCGTAGAACGGGCCTAAGTCATCAGTAGGACATCCCCTGAAGGCTCAAGTCTGTGAGAGGGAGCAGGCCGGGCTGAGGGACCGCCCCCCCCCCAGTACATGAATTTTGTGCACTGGGCCTCTACTCTTATATAAATGCAGTATGCTGAAACCAGTTTGGCTCAGTGGATAGAGCGTTGGTCTGCGGACTGAAGGGTCCCAGGTTCAATTCCGGTCAAGTGCATGTACCTCGGTTGTAGGAATTGTGCAGGAGGCAGCTAGTTGATGTTTCTAACTCTCTATCCCTCTCCCTTCCTCTCTGTAAAAAATCAATTTTATATATAATATAAAAATCGGGTAATGGACATTGATATATGTGTACAATGCCAAATTATTTTATCACATGTAGATTTATGTAACCACGACTAAAATTAACATACAGAACAATTTTTTTAACCACAAAGATATTCCTTGTGCTACTATTATATAATCACACACCACTTTCACCTTCTAATTATTCCCAACTCCTGGCACTACTAATCAGTTTTCAGTCTCTATATTGAGAATGTTAAAATGGAATCATAGAGTATGTGACCTTATAAGATTGGCTAATTCCTTTGTTATAGCTGAGTAGTATTCCACAGTGTCAATGTACCACTGTTTAACTAGTGACCTACTGAGAGACTTTTTAAAATATAAAATATATTTTTATTTATTACAGAGAAGAAGGGAGATGGAAAGAGAGGGAGAAACATCAATGATGAGAGAGAATCGTTGATCAGCTGCCTCTTGTTCCCTACTGGGAATCAAGCCTACAACCTGGGCATGTGCCCTGATTGGGACTCAAACCATGACTTCCTGGTCCATAGATCAATGCTCAACCATTCAACCATGCCAGCCAGGCTTGAGGGACATTTTGATCATTTCTATTTTTTTTCTATTTCAGTAATGTGCTATGAACATTAATTTACAAGTTTCTATGTGTATGTAATTTTTAAATTTTCTGGGATAAATGCTTGGGAAAGTAATTTATGGATCATATGGTAGTTGAATGTTTAGTGTTTAAATAAAGTTCCAAACTGTTTTCCAAAGTGGCAATGACACTTTACATTCCCACCAACAACGGATAAGAAATCCAGTTTCTTGTCCATTGAAAGCATTTGGTATTGTCATTATTTTTTATTTTAGAAATTTTGATAGGTGGTTAGCAATAATTCATTATGTTTTAATTTGTAATTCTCTAATGGCTAATGATGTTGAACATCTTATAATTTACTTATTAAACATCTGTGTATCCTATTCAGTGAAATATCTGTTCGTGTCTTTTGATTATTTTCAAATTAGACTTTTTAATTTTTTTATTGTTGAATTTTTAGAGTTCTTTATATATTGCAAATATGAGTCCTTTGTCAGTTATATGGTTTGCAAATATCATCTCCAAGGCCGCAGCTTGTCTTTTAATCTTCTTAACTGGGTCTTTCAGAGGCAATATTTTGAATTTTTATATACTAGTAGTCCAATTTATCCTTTAAAAAATGGATACATTTTTAGTGTTACATTTAGAAGTCTTCTACTAAGATTAATTCTGAAACATTTTCCCATTAAAATATCCTATAGTTTTAGATTTATACCTATGCTCCATTATGAGTTAATTTTTATATAAGCTATGAGGCTTAAGTTGAGCTTCATATTTGTTACCTATGGATGTCTGATTACTCTAGCACAATTAAAAAAATAAAGTACTGTTCTTCCTTTGTTGAATTGCTTGTGCAATTTCTTTACAAATCAGTTGAGTAGATTGGTTTGGGTATATTTCTAGGCTGCTTATTCTGCTCCATTGCTGTATGTGTTTATCGCTTTGTCAATACCACACTTTCTTAATTACTATAGCTATATAGTAAGGATTTTTTTTTTATCATTTAGAGTTATTCCTCCCACTTTAATATTCTATGGCAAGATTGCTCTAAATATTCCAGGACCAATAACTTTCCATATACAATTTTTAAATAATTTTATCTGTAGCTACAAATAAATCTTGGTTTTTATAGAGATTGTGTTAAACCTGTATATACATTTGGAGGAATTGACATCTTTACCATGTGAGTTTTCCAGTCCATTTCCATGGTATGGACATATATGTCTCTCTATTTATTTAGATTTTTTATTTCTTCCATGAGCATTTTGTTATTTTCAGCATATAGATCTTATAAATATTATGACAGGTGTATACCTAACTATTATCTTTTCTTTTTAAAAGTTTCTTTATTGATTAAGGCATTACATATGTGTCCTCATCCTTCCATTAACCCCCCAACCCAACCCCCACTCATGCCCTCACCCCCCTGATGTTCGTGTTCATTGGTTAGGCTTATATTCATGCACACAAGTCTTTTGGTTGATCTCTCTGTCTTACCTCCACCCTCCCCTACATTCCCTGTGAGGTTTGTCAGTCTTATCAATGCTTCTCTGTTTCTGGATCTGTCCCTGTTCATCAGTTTATGTTGTTCATTATATTCCACAAATGAGTGAGATCAGGTAGTATTTATCTTTCTCTCACTGGCTTATTTCACTTAGCATAGTGCTCTCCAGTTCCATCCATGCTGTTGCAAATGGTAATAACTCCTTTTTTTTTTACTGCAATATCATATTCCATTGTGTAGATGTACCACAGTTTTTTAATCCACTCATCTGCTGATGGGCACTTAGGCTGTTTCCAAATCTTAGCTATGATAAATTGTGCTACTATGAACATACGGGTGCATAGATCCTTTCTCATTATTGTTTCTAGTTGCTTGGGATATATTCCTAGAAGTGGGATCACTGGGTCAAATGGGAGTTCCATTTTTAGTTTTTTGAGATAGCTTCATACTATTCTCCACA